AGAGTGACGACCGATGCTGGATTCCAGCGCCGGTGCCGTGGCGACCCGGGTGTCTGCTTTTAGCAATTTAACGTCACAATGCCGCGGTCTCCTCGCTACACACGACAACGGAGAGTAAGACTAGGGGGCCTTATTCCTCAAAACACTTCTTCTTGTCTGTGAATAAGTCATCCGCCTGCACAAGACATCTCTGTGGGGCAAAGCTGTAACTGGCCAAATTCCTTAGAATGCTTCCTACCCCAAAGGAACAGAAATGGGACGAAGCGAAGGAATTTCTGCCATGCCACAATGACAGTTACGACGATGTAGCCAAAACACATTGACCGCACCGTTGGACGTGTGCTGTGTTCTAAATAAAAATCATTTCTCTCCGGTACTTTCCACAGAAAGTAGAAACTAAAACGTGTCTTTGTTCATCGAGCCTACTAATTCAGCTAAACACTTCGAAACAATTTTCCTGTTTTATTATCGATACCAAGATCGACCTTCCCCTGCTGATTCCTCGTCTTACAAAGCCCCTCAGGGCGGAGTCTAGTTCACCGGGTTCGTGTCCCTGAGCAGTGGAAGAGGACTGCCCACGTCCGACAGAGCCGTCGCCTCGTTCCACCTGGGCCGAAGGAGCCACACCGTGAGTAAAGCGCCCGTTAGCGGGGCTTCGGGGGCAGCTTCACTCGGGTCAGATCCTTGTCCACGCACTTGCGTGCGGCGCTCCTAAAGCAGCTCTCGTGCCCTCCCCCTCTCCTGCGGTCTGTCTGCTTCCGTCCGTCCCCCCGTCCGTCCGTCCCTCGCTTTCTCTGCTGCGGCTCGGTATTCTGCCCCGTGCCCGGGAGAGTGACAGCACCGAGCTGCCCCGCAGTCACTGTTACCTGGTGAGATCCGGAAGGCAGGCTCTTTACCAGACCCTCTGTGTCGGAGGGGGACTTCTGTGGGGCCTGCTTAACCGGTGACACACTCTCTGAAGTGCTACAGCTGACAGGTTGGCCATTTGGAGAACAAACGTAAAGAAAAATGTTTTTAAATAAATGGAAACAAAAATATAGAAATGCAAGTGACGACAAAGTGAAGCGGCAGATGCATAAAAACAAAACACAACAAAACGATGGATATCGAAACAATCACACGTCTCGAAGCTGTATTCTACCCCTGATTCTAAGTCTCCCAAATCAACGAGGCCACTACTGGGGCAGGCACAGAACCCAGTGCGGCGGGAGCGCTGCCCGCTCACAGCCACGACGTCTGCCGGACGGGATTCTGGCTGTGACTTACCACGTGGTGCTCTGTCTTTTCCCCCGGCCATCCACCCTCACTTCTGTGATCATCAAAGGCAAACTTCTCCTGCACGTATTTCAAAAATCACAGACACACAGCCGGGGTCATAATCTCGATCGTGTCATTCCTTCCATTTCCTGGTTCCCCATATTCTGTTTCCCCACCAAAGACCATAACCACACCAAATAATGAGCAGCTGTGGCCTGCCGCATCACACACGGTGAACCTTTTCAGGAGCTCGGGAGTCTTTAACGACAAGCCTGAGCTTGTAAATAAATCGGGGAAACAGAGTGGCAGGAGGTAATCGTTAGGGATGTGTCGTCGGCAGGGCTTAAATACTTTATAACGTATTAGAAAAAAAATCTTAGGCGTTTGGGAGGATTACATTTAAAGTGTCATTACTGAGGCCGAAGCACACAACGCATTCTGCTAATTGTGCCTTCTCTGAAATGGGAGGTTATGTGCCCCAGACCAAAATGGTTTGATAGGCATGCTAACCCAAAGAGGGTCTCAGTCATTGACGACACGATGCACATATTTACAAAAAGATAACTAAACACACACACACACACACACACACACACACACACACACGCACACCGAAGCCTTTTACATGAAGAACGTATGTATCCAGACGACCATAAACATCTGTGACCTGACAACTCCACTTTGTAGGGATGGCATGACAACATGTTTCTGACACAGACACGTGACGTAGTTGCGGACAGACCCTAACAGCTGCTGGGTTAGCTCAGAGCCAGCCGGTTAGCGTCCAGCAGGGGGGCGGGACTAGACACATACACGTGATAGGAACAGCAACGGGGTTAGTTACCATGTGCCTAGTGGGGGCGGAAGAGGAGCCCCAGCCCTGCTCTAGGCTCGGGGTGTCGTCTATGTCAGCTTTTCTTAAGAAGTGGAAGAGAAGCAGGATCTGATCCCGGACACCAAGGCAGAAAAGGCAGGGGAGGGAGAAAAACCAGAGTAAGAACAGCAGCATTCGCGATGCCATGCAGGATTCTGCCCCTTCGTTAACCCGAGCAGGAGCCGCAGAGCCTGGCATGTCACCCCCCGGATTAGTCTCATGTCGAAAACCAACGCTCCAGTTAAAGTTCATCAGAAACACTCGCCATGCAAGGGAGTAGGTACAGTCGGCAGAACAGAGGCGTTCCAAACCAGTGGTATCCAAATCTGGCTCTCAAACTTGTTAAAACACAGCACTCCTCCTAAAAACGAGGCCGCAGGGCCCGGTGAGAGCGGATCCCCCCGTCGCCAGCCCGGGAGCCTGGGGCATGCAAGCTCAGGGCAGGCCCCGCGCTCGGTGGCCAAGGGTGGGCCGTGCGCCTGCGCCCCAGCTCGACTACGTCAGCTGGACTCCCGCCTTCACGCTGTCTTACCACGAGGCCTACTTAGCTCAGGTGGCTTAGCTTTCCAGCTGCAGCGGGAGGACAGCAGGTCCTGCAACAGACACGCGCCTCTGCTCAAGTGCCTTCTCTTTGAGAGGCCATAAACAAAAAGACAGCCTACTGTTCTTTACTGCCGGGAAATGTCGGTGTTTGACCCCTCTGATCCCAGCGTGCACGAGTCCGGCCATGCATTCCAGAATGATCAAAGTGACGTAGCCGCCGCCAAGACCACAGAAAGGAGATGCCTGGGTCCCCACACCGGGCCGGGGGCCGTCGGTCAGCACGGCTCTTACTGATTAGTTTCACATCTGCCTAACTGAAAAAATGACGGTCTTAAATTGGGAACGTGGGGTCTGTGGCTTGGTGATGCCGATGGCAGAGCGCTTGGTACTGAAACACAGAGCCCAGGCTGCCAAGTGGGCCACTGCCCAAACCCGGGAGAGAAGCTGAAGTGGGCTCCTGTCACAGCCCACAGGGAGCAGCAGGCCACCGGCTTCTGCTTGCCCACGTCACCGCACCTCCTCAGGAGACCGCCCGATTCTGGCATGAAAGCAAACTGTGGCTAATTCTTCACAGTTCCGTTTCCATAAAAAAACACAGAACCTTTTACAGACCCGATCCCTTCCCGCTTCCCTCCCTCCGAAAGCGGTGTTTCTTACCCGGTGTAGTCCCGTTTAGAGTTCTTCCTCCTGTAGAGGACAGCCAGGATAATGCCGATGAGGAGCATGAGACCTACGACCACAGCCGTCACTATACCCACCACCACCCAAACCGGAAACACGGGCAAAATCTCTACGGAGAAAGAACACAATCGTGTTAAGGTGCATTGCGACAGAGAAGAAATGGAACTCGCTTAAATTAATAAACAAACATTTTCCGTTAGCAGTTATCACACCCCCCGTTGTCACCCGAATTACGAGAGCCTAGGATCTACGCGATGGCGTGTGAATATTAGTGATCAAGCACGAGCCACACAACCACGCATTTGCACGCACGCGCAACCCCCTCAGTGTGCTACGCTCAAACACCGGGGGTGCGCGCTGACCTCGATCCGCTCCCCCCCAGAGCAAACGGAGACGGCAGAACCTGCACATCCTGCTCATTCTCAAAAAAGGGAAGAAACACCTGCGCTGCGTTTGCGACTGTTACGACCTTCTCCTGGCGACCGCGGGAGGAGCGTCACCCTCCCTCCTTCCCAGCACCCAGCCCCGACCACGGAGAACCTGGCCTCTCTCACTGACACCGAGGAACCGACGCCGCTGGAATCGGACCGACGGCCTCTGACAGCGGGTTTGTAAACGGAGAGACCGGCCGCCCCGGCTGGGGTGGGTGGGGGTCCCCACATCCAGGTCCCCAGACACGGGGGCCATGACCGCACGGCAAAAACGCTCCCTTCAGACACACCCTCAAACGCGGTCCTTGTTCTCCAGCCGAACAGGCGGTAAAGGGGGTTACGCCATCGCCGCCGAAATACCCAGTGTACCTCTCTGCACGACGTAGAGCCGGATGTGTCCTGGCTGGGCGACGATGTCAGGAGGGTTCTTGACGTCACAGATGTAGGTGCCATTGTGTATAAACTGCATATTTTCTATGTGGATCGATACGTCTTTCTTGTCTAGGTCTCCAGCCCAGCTGATTCTGTCCTTAAATGGCGGGTAATTTCCGGCATACACTTGCCCTTGAGAGTAGTGGAAAAACTGAAATTAGGAAAAAAAAACAAAACACACACACACATGAGCTATTTGCAAAGGCACAGGTTCCAAATTCTACGAAAGGCACGCCGCGGAAGGGTCCCCTAGAGATTCCGTATGGGAAGGAGCAGCGCACTGTGAATCTCGCCGGCATCTAAGCCAGGCAGGGGTTTGGAAATCACGGGTTCGATCGTGTCTCAGGAGAAGAAATCAACTCACACATCACCTCTCATCCTCTCGACATCCCAGTGATGTAGCGATTACCACCCACATTTCTACAATAAGGAAACGGGACGCAAAGAAGCCATTGGCCCGAGGTCGCGACAACAGGCCGTGGTGGCGCAGGGCCAAAGCCGGGACCGTCTTCCAGGCCAGCGCCCTGGGCACGACACCGTGCTGGAGCCAGTGCGTTCGGAGGCGCCCGTCTTAGTCCACAAAGCTCGCTGTTAAGACACAGAAAGAAGCCTAAGCAGCACCGCTCGGTTAACCGGACGGGTGTCCCCGCCTGCTGGCTTCCCACGGAGCAGAGGGACAAAGCCCAGACCACGCGGCGCGCTCTCTCCCGCCTTCGAAGCTTCTGCCTCCCGCCCGCGGCCATCTGCACTCTCGCTCGGTCCTCAGCCCGGCTCTGTGCAAAGGAACTAATTTCTCAAAGTAACGGTGTCAAACCCAGGGCCTCAAAGCGAGCTGAGGCCTGGCGGGGGAGTGGGGGCGCAGGGCGGGGGTATCCTGATACTTGGCTTCGATCCAGGCAGCTCAGCTCTCGTTCAGAGGTGGGGCGGCGGGAGGAGGTCAGCGATGGGGCTCCAGCAGCAACTCTAGCGGGACATTCTCAGGACGCCCTGAGCGCACCGAACCCCAGCACGGCCTCATCCACCCCTGACCGACTGACCATCTGTAACCGGTCAGCTCCCGAGCTCCTCTCCGGACTCCTCGCCCGGCTCCCCCGCCCTCCACGCTGCCGTCCTGGCCTGTGAACTTCGTCTTCTACCCACTATCGGTCGCGTCCGGACTGATGGCTGCGCCGTCTCCCCAGCCATAAACCGTGGAGTCATCACGCTCGATCCCGCCACCTCCCTTCCCTCCCAGTTAACCCCCGACCCTGCAGGCTCTACCGCCGACATTTCTCTCTTCTCTGTTTAATGCCCACTGGTAACCCTGGCTCCAGGCCCCGTCCTCTCGGTCTGCGGCCTCCTGCCCGCTCTCAGGCCCTTCTAATCCACCGTCCACAAACCCGAACGACCACGGACAGACAACAGCGGTGGCGGCCGTCACAACCGCCGTGTAGCAAACTCACTCCGAGCTCCACGGAACCGGCTCTTTGCTAAGAACTGAGGTTCCGCCCTCCTTGCCCGTCTGCCGCAGGTGCTGGCAGACGACACCAAACTCCTGCGGAGTCTTCATGCCCATGAAGACGACTTAGCGACGAGGGCCTTGTTACCTCCGACACGGCAAGCGGCACGTTTTCGCCTGTGGCCCTTCACCCCCGTGCCACACGTGGACGGCCTGCAGGGGCTCGGGCGGATGCTGTGCCATGCAGGCTTTGTGTCACAGCCAAGGGCATCCACGTGTTTTATAATGGGGCAGTAAGCCCACCCGGCCTTTGTGCCACAGGGAGTCATTACCTCTACTGGACGATAACCAAACCTGTCCTCTCTGCCACAGGAGACACCGTCTGTCTCCAGGGCCAGTCACTGCACCAGAAAGACAGCCAGCGCCTCTGCTGGCAGGAGATGCAGACACGCGACACCCCCGGGAACAACGCTCCGGTGCTCCTAGCCGCCCTGCAAGGCGAGGCTCGCCTGCCAGACACTCGCAAAGGAGGACAGTGCGGCTCCGGGGACTCTAGTGACCTGCTCAAGGCCACAGGTCTCGGTCCCGCTGTGTCCTCGTAACAGCCCCCTGCAGAAGGCTCCACCGCCTCCATTCCACAGACGCGAGTCGCGGCCGTCGGTGCGTGTCTGATAAGCGCCCACTGCAAACGGGCACTGTCCGGGCACCAACTAGCCTTCCCCGGACCCTCCGGTCCTGCATTTCTGCTCTGCCACTTGTCGTACTGTGACGTCGTCATCGACGTGCCATTGCTCCTAACTAATTACGCCCCGAGTGAGAGCACACGGTTGTACACATTACAGACCCACAGCACAGTCGGCTCCCAGTGACTACCACTGAATCAGGGAACTATGGGGTAGACTGAGGAACTCGTAATTAAATCAGAAAGGAGAGTGTGTGTGGGTGTGTGTGTGTGGGTGTGTGTGTGTGTGTGCGCGCGCGCGCGCAGAGAAATACTTAAAGTACAATAAAAACAGCAATGGGGCAGACGGAAGCTGAGAAGAGGTTGCGTGAACCGTGGTCAGAGTCGGCAAGGTCAGTTAGGGGCACCGCTGTGGAAGAGGACACGTTCCAGATGGATGCGACGGCGGGGGAAGCGGGGCCGGCAAGGCGACAGAGACAGCGGAGGCAAGGACGGGAGCTGCGTGGAAGGGAAGCTGGAGTTATTCTTCCCAGGGATGCTGAAGGAGGGGCAGGGCCTCGAGGTCTGGGACAGACGCCCGGCGGCTCACTCACTCCGGACACGGACAGTCAGAAGGACAGACCGGCAACCACACTGCACCAGCAGAGAACCCCGCGCGGTGGGGCCGGCCACGAGCAGTCGGGCGCTCCTACCGACACCATGGTGTCCGTCCCCTCCGGCTGGAAGCTCCAGGAGACCGAGGTCAGCATGCCGGTGGTGTTAGGGGACTTGAACTTGCATGTCAGCGTCCCTTGTGTCCCATTTGCCACGAAGATTTCTTTCGGTGTGTACACCTCCAAGGCCGATATGCCAGTAGTCACTGCAGAGAGGAACAAAGAGCTTAAGAGCAGGATCCGGCGTGAACGCCATGCGCACAGTCATCAGAGAAGGTGGCAAAGAAAAAAACAGGAAGGTTCCCAGATTCTACAGTGAGCCGCTGCCACTGCGTGCTGCGCACGGCAGAATATTCTGTACCCAGGTACTTCCTGCGAACAGGATAAGCTGCTGACAGACTCGCAATTTTTGGTTGTTTTTTCAGCAAGAAGCTATTTTTACTAGAACTACAGTTTATGTATTTCGCCTACTGGAGGACATCTCGCCTGCTTCTCTGACGGTCTCTTTTTCATGATGTGGAAGCCATAATTTTACTTCTTTAAATAGTTCTCATATTCACCTGTTATGTTTCGACTGACAGGACATTGAACTTTTCCCATTTTCCATATTTAGAGCAATTAAAACTATTCTAGGTAAGACGGCGCCTCATCGTAAAGCCACGCTTATTATTTAACTGGTCCTTTCCCCCTAAAGGATTTAAGGCAAAAATAAAATGCGTTACGTATCTTGCTTTCTTTAGTGAAATCTTATCTGCCATCAGGTTTCAATATGCTGCAAACATGTGTACCCTACAATGCGGCCCAGCTGGCCACGCTGGGCCACATTTTCATTCACCCACTGAGTTTTTTTTTTTTCAGTTAGCCTAAGACCAGGAAATAGTAATTAAAATGTCTCTCCCTTGGAAAACAAAAATAACTTTTTTCGAAATCTATAACCAGAGATAACTATAGGAATTATGAAGGATCGCTGCGAAAATAAAATAATCTTCACTGAAAAATAGATACTTTCATGACTAAATGGTTAGGAAAAAACTCCCTTGGCCTAAAATTGAAAAGGAGAACCAACCCAGGAAAGATGAAAAACACTCATCTTCAAAATATGATGTGTTTTAAAGAAATCATTTAGAGAGGATCCATATCTATAGTGTACCAATTATTCTTAGACTGTAACAGATGAGCAGAATAAGGCAGAATGAGGAAGGGTATTGTCACCCGAGACTGAAGGTCACATTCAGCATTTTTTCCTCCCAAGGTCTTAACTCTGAGTCCAGGCCAAGGAGACAAAGGTCCCCCCACCCCCAGCCCTCCCAACCATCTCCCAAATGTTTATTCTGAGGGCACAATGTGTGCTTTTGGCTATTCTTTTAAATCAACTGATAGCCACACTGCATCAAGCGGATTTTTTTTCTGCAAAAGAGGGTGGATTATTATTACAAGGAACAATGGATTATTATTTGTGGTCCAAATCTCAAAACAAGCCCTTCCTTCACTGGAGAAGCCAACAGAAGGCGTTCCTCGCTATTGTGGGCAGGCAGTAACGCAGCCTCAGGGCGAGTGGGCTCCAGGCAAACGGCAGAGCCAGACCAGGCGACTCAGCCAGACCAGGCGACTTGGCCCGATGCTCCCGGGAAGCAGCTCAGGTTTGAGGCCCTTGTTTACTGTGCGACTACGACCAATTTTCTCCACAGTGATGAGCACTGCCAGGGGAGTCACAGTCTTTTAAGTCAGTAAATAAGGGTTCTCAGACCAGACCCCCGTCACAAGGCCTGGTGGCAAGGAACCCAGAGGGCGACCGAGTCCGGGGCTCGAGCTGCCTGCTCCCACCCACCCGCAGACCCACCACGGCGCTGCTCAGAACTAGCGTTTATCGTGGGAGCACGGATGATCCGGGAAGGCAGCAGGTTGACGCCTTCAAAACCTGCCTTCCCTGACTGGCTCAGGGCGTTATTCTAGGGGCTATATGTTGGGGGGAGGGCTGTCCAGCTTCAGGGGCCTTCCGGCCTTTCTTCTGGCTACGCGGCCTCTTTCTTGTGGCCTCAGCAACTCAGGAACAAAGATGGGGGCAGTGTGTAGAGCTATAAAGATTGTGATCAGCAAGCGTCAAGACATTAGTCACACGTTTTGGGGCAGTTTCCTAAGGCAGGGGCATTAGTCAGCCTAGGAGCAATCTATTGTCTAACCAAGGACTGGGGAACCCAGGGGAAAGTGGGGTGAAGCTTCTGGGAAGCCTGGGGGCCACAGTGCCCGCACCGAGCCCTCCTTCGGCAAGGCCATTGCCCAGCCGTGACCTGAAATTGGAAGCAGGCCAGGTGTGCAAGTTTACGGCCACGGGATTTCGACCAAAAGGACTCACAGAAACATCCCTACTCGGCTCTGAGACAATCGATTCACGGTGGACTTGGTTTGGTTACGCTGCCACCTTGGTCCGACGCACCAGCACGTTTCACCCGCGCTGTTTCAGTGGCTTCCTGAGCTGGCATCTCTGCGTCCACCCTCACCACTCGCCTGCCAGGCTCAGGCGTGTGTCCTCGAGGCCACCTCACGCACCCCCTCTCCTACCCTGCCCCCCAACCACGCTGCAGCAGCCGGGCTGGTCCCCCGTGCCCTCCTGCCTGTGAAGAGGGCCCCCGGAGACTGGAGGTGCCCCAGGCAACCGTGACGCGGGACAGATGAGGGTAGAGGGATGTGCCGTGTGAAATGCCGAGGGGCAGCTGCACCGCACAGCTGGTCCGGGGCACAGGTTCAGCGGGTGCTCTGGCTTCAAGCCGCCCGTGTCACCGTGCGCGTGACAGTGCCCCCAAGTGCGGTGACCAAGCGCAGGACAGCGCCCTCTGGCCAAGTGCTCCCTATGGGGTTTCTCCTGGGTGGGTATTGAGAGGAACCAAACACGGGTCCTGCTCCGAGGTCACCCCATGCAGCCCAAGCAGGACGAGGCGCTGGTCCCTTGAACAACCGGGAATGGTTTGCCTTGTCCAGCCTTTTATTTCAAGCAACTACGAGTATTATGGAAATACACAGTAAAATCATTGTGGAACGCAGATGGCTCCTCTTCAGACTTATAAAAGAGTTTTTAGGGGCTCGTTAGAATGGCGAAAAATGCAAATGTAAGGAACGATGACATGCAGAGAAGCTTCTGTTCTAATCCACTGTCACCACCAACGGGAACCTAGTCTGGATGGGATATTAAATAGGCTTCTTGTGGGTAGGGCGTCTGGTAAAAATCACCGTGCAAAGCATTAAAGCTGCAGTTCGACAACTAACTCGTAGGTGGGGAGAAGTCTCCCGCCGGATCCTGGAAAGCCAATCGCCTCACGAACAAAAACAAAGAAATGAAATGAAATGAAAAAGATTAAGTGATATAAAATGTTTTTACATCCTGCCAACTTAGGATTCTGAGTTACATATTAACTTACACATAAACTTCAAAATGGTGACAGGAACCCAGCTAACTTTCTTCCTGGGGAAAAAATCTTGCTAATTACTAGAGAGTTCACAGGGCAAGAAAACCAACCCAACAGCCCTTCCTGTAAGAGACCGATTCACATGGGAAGAACCTGCTAAGTCATTCGGTGAGGACTCGCCAAGGCTGTGGAGTTAACGCGCCAGGAGTCATTTCCATAGTGGTCCAGTGTGATCCCCAAAGGCGGGGATCTTTTTGTTTTGGACGGAGAACCAGACAGTTTAGGAAAAAGCGAAGCAAACGGGGAACACAAAACAGCCAACGCAACCACAAGGAAAAAAGCCTATTCCAGAGCGTTTCGCCCAAGAGGCCACTTCCTGATGGGACTGACTTCAACGCTCTGAATGACTGAAGCAGCTTAAATAAAGCCTCTCGACCAACACTTGAGATACTACTCCACGTGAATTCAAACTCTCGCACCATAAAGTCATTGGAGATACACTGGAGTTACATAATCACAGGCGAATGGACGGCCAGCCTCTGAGCCTCGACGGGGATTTCGAAACTGCTACCAGTCGAAGCGATTCTTCATCCACCTGTTACTGGCATGTGAAAACCTCACCCTCTTAACAAACCCGGTTCAGGTTCCCCTGGAATCTGAAAGGAGGCTTTTGTCCGGGAAGGTTCTGAAGCACTCAGACGCCCGCGGCGTGCTCGGCCGAGAGCAGGCAGGCGGCCAGGGCCTCCGGACCAGCTCGTCTGCTGTCGGGACGCAGTGCGAGTCTGACACTGTGACATCTCCCGACGCGCGCGTAAACATGGCCTTTTACATCACACGAGAGGACAGGAACAAAGAGGGCACGGAGCACGAAATCCAGACCAGCAGGATGCGGGGAGCAGGCCGGAGGGGGCTGGGGGAGAGGCACGCACTGCAGGCGACGGACCACGTCCCAGGCTGCTCGGGAGGGCCCGGAGCTCGCGGTAACATCTCCTGTCGACTGTGCGCACGCTCTCTCTCTCTCATACGTATTTTACTTTTCATGATAAAAACCGCTTTTTTTAAAAAGGAAGACGTCGGCAAGGCGCTGAGAGATTTCCTTCTTTGACGCCGGATGCTCCAGTGAAAGCGTCAGCACATGGTCCCCTTGGTGTTGCCCGGCCGGACAGGCAGGGCCGCGTGCTGACGCGCGTCTGAGGGGACAACACGGGTGTCGGGGCGGAGTCTCACGTCTGGAACAGGCCACCTGCAGCTGAAGCGGGCGCCTTCTTCACAGAATCGGGGCTGGTTCGGACCTCCCTCAGCGGACAGCACAAAGTAAGGGGGGCTGCAAACATAGGCTCTACTCAACGAGCCCTAAAAAGTAATAGATTAAGCTTTTCATCTGTCAGAAACCACCCCGCTACATTCCTTGTCCAGTTATGCTTCAGGCCTCAGTCTGGAAGTGACTTCCTCCCGCATCTGTCCCAAACTCCCCACCCTGTGCCCCTCCCATCCTGCCCCCCCACCCCCATCCGGGCATCCTCACTTTCTATGGGAGTGACCAGCTGTCTGTAACCAGGACAGCGCGGGGCCTGTGGCCACCTTGCCCATCACTATGTTCTCGTTACCTGACAAATGCCCGCCTTTTGTCAATATGTTCAACAAACATTTGTCTGAAAGGCAGAAAAAATGAATGAATGAGAGAAGAATAAGATACCAAGTTAAACTCAGATCAGCTAAGCCATCAAATCATACTTGCTCCAGCGCAAAGCCCCAAACCGTGCTTGCAGCGGTTACTCGGGGCCAAGGCTGAACGCTGACACATCTCAGAGGTGGCTCAGGGAGCCCCGCTCCGCGTCACCTTCCTACTTG